CATTGTACTTTTGATATACTAACCTAAAGAGGGGGAGTGGTAGAAGAGGTGAAAGGAAGGAAAGAGACGGGTAATATTGTGTGACAGTAAGTGACTGACACGGTCCATGAGACAGACAGACACAGGGTTGCACTGTAAGCCCGGCAGTTCGCTGTGCAGACTGCTGTCCAGCAGAGGCAGGTCAAGTGAAAAGGGCTTTCTCTTCTGGTACTGTATTGCTTGTGTTTTCAGTGTGGCAGCCCCAGGCCAGACTGCCAGGGTTTGACTCTGGGCTCTACTGCCTGCTTGTTGTGTGCCTTTGGCAACTTACTAGGCCTTTCCAGAATTAATTCATTCTCTATACACTGGAGATGATATGTGCACTAGAGAAGCACTATATCAAAACCAAGGGTCCAATAGAACATATAAAAGAATGCCTGGCATATAAAATGTGATTAGCAACAATTTTGACCAAAAGCAATCAAAGTAAACAGTAAAAAACCCTAAGGAAAGCCAGACATGGTGGCGCACTCCTGTAATCTCAGCACTTGAGAGACTGAGGCAGGTGGATTGTGACAAGTTCGAGACCAGCCTGTGCTACAAAGTGAACATAAGGCCAGACTGAACTGCATAGGAAGACCCTATCTCAAAAAGACAAAAAAGCAAAAACAAAAAAACCCTAAGGATTTTTTCAAATTCGTGGAGAAAAAAAAAAAAAAAAAAAAAAAAAAAAAAAAAAAAACCCTAAGGAAACAACCCTAAGGAGCAATGATATACAAATGATCTAGAAGTAAAATTCGATAAGCCCAAATAATTGGCCGAGTCTTGCTAAGTTGTCAGTGTGGATGGGCCATGCTGCCCTTTGTTCCAGACCAGCAGGTCAGCCGGCAACTCCCTGAGGCTCTGCCCACTCCTCAGAAAGCCTCCAGGTCACTCCAGTGCCAAGGAGTCCCTGGGCCCTGTTGTGCCATCCCCTTTTCCTTTGCCGTTGGCTAATGTACCCTTGAGGGCACATTCTCTTCCCCAGGAAAGATGCCTGCAATTCAACTAGAGCAGCCCTCAGCCTCTCTCCATGTGCCATGCGGCCCCAGAGAGGGTGTAAGGACAGTCAGCTTCCCTGGTGGTGGTGAGGGTTAACTACTGCACCCATGTGGCTGAGCAAGGCAGGACACGTTCCCTGGTGAGGACACTATTTCCTTTGGCAACCATATTTTGCATTTGATACATTCCGCACAGCAGCAGCAAGATTTTTGTCTACTCTTAAAACAGGACTCCCCTACTCCCTGGTTGATTTTTTTTTTTCCTCCAAGACAAAGTCTTGCTATGGTACCCAGGTTGGCCTTAAACTTGTACACTCAAGTGATTCTCCTGCCTCGGCCTCCTGAGAAGCTAAGACTATCTACAACACCACAGTACAGATTCTTATGTGATTTTATTTAGTGCTTTGAGCAGGCTTTCATATTTCATCTTTACTAGCAGTACTTTAAGGACTGGAGCTGCCACTCTCTTCCTTGAAAGGCCACAAGTACCTGACAGTATGCATTTGAGAAGATCAGGAAAGCTATGACTTTTACCCAGAGACATGGCAGCCTGGTAAACATGGCTCTACTCTGACAGACCCCACAGAAACACAGGACCCACACCCCTGTGAAAACAGCAGAAAAGCCCAAGGCGAGTTGCTGAGGCCATGCTCCAAAAGCAGTCAAAAGCGGCACTGCATGGAGCGATGCACACTTGTAATCCCAGTACCCTTGGAGATGAGGTAGGGGCCGGCCCAGCCTGAGAAATTCAACAACTTACTAAGGCCCAGTCTCAAAATAAATAAAAAAGACTGGGAATGGAGCTCAGCACCAAGGCCCTGGGTTCCATTCCTGGTACCTCCTACCCCTAAAATAAGCTAGAACCAAAAAGTGGTGTCTGTTCTCAGGGTCTTAATTAGCAAATTCTCACGGAGACCAAATTCCATCTTTTATGCCTCCCAGTCCCTGGTAGCTACGGTCCAGTTGAAAGACCAGTAACGGGACAGCTCAGCACCTGTCATGGCATTTCTCTGTTGATCGGCCCATCCTCTCTTTCCATGCCATCCTATTTTACAAGGTCACTGCCACCCAAGTCTATCAGTTGGTGTGGGGAAGGGAGCCACTCCTGGGGCTCAGCCAGGCCCAACCAGGCCACAGTCCTGCCTCCAGGTTCCCAAAATGGAGTTGTGGCTGGTGCAGGAAGAAGAAGGGATATAATAGGAAACGCTCTGCTCACTGGAAAGGCTGTGGTTGTGTCTGTGAATGCTGGGTCTCCTTAGAGTGGGAGTGGGGCAGAGAGGAGGCTGCCCCAGGCCCTGCCTGATCTACCCCTCCCCAAGCACTGTGCAGGTTCTTTCTTGGGAACCTTGGCTCTGTGTGCTCCTCCCACGATCCTGCCAGTAAATGTCTATTTTGGCCAATGTTTTAGATGGATTTCTGTCCCTGGCACTAACAGGTTCTAATGGTCAATGCAGGAGTCTGCAGGATAAGTTTATTACTCTTATTATCCTTTTCAGGATAAGTCTGAAAGGAGGTTGGCCCACTCTCTTGGTTACTGCACACTTGATTGAACTGCTACTTACTGAGCACTGAGCATATGCCAGGCATGACTCCCACTGCTTTTCTAAAACACAAAGCTGAAAAAGACATATCTCTGATCTCGGCAGGCTCTGCAACTTATCTGACATCACAACTGAAAATGGTCTAGAGGAGAGCCAGATGCCAGTCCTTTCCTGTGTCTCCGCATCTTTCACAGACTGCGGGGGAGGAGAGCAAGAAATCAACAAGAAGCTAACACCTCCTGTGAATCGGCGCCACGTGCAGGCTGACTGGGAGAGAGCTAGACGCCAGCCCTTTCCGATGCAGGCAGGGAGACAAGAAGAGACAATGTCCCCATCCTGTGCCCCAACCCACTGTATGCAACCAGTTGATCTGGAGAAACGCAGGCTGTGATGATAGCTAATGAGGTAACATACAACTTAATCTGGGTAGTGTTTCACTGACTTTGCAGGCCTAAAGCCAGTAGTCTGATTCTTCAGAAGATAACATAGGCAATGTAGCATATGTGGGGATCTCCTTCTGAAGTTGGTGGCTACTGTTAATAACTTTTATCTTGTTTTGAAATCCTGTGTCATTCTCATTGTTTTGTTTTGTTGGTTTTATTCTGTTTTATCTTAATTTTGTTGTATCTGATGGCATGGGCAGCTATTTCAAAGATGAGAAGATATATTATGGTAGCTATTTTAGATTTACTATTGTCTTGAAGTCCTTTATTGCATTTATTGTTTCGTTTTTACTGATTCTGTTATTTTGTTTGATTTTTACTATATCTGAAAGTATGGGCAGGTATTTTGAAGACAAGAGGCATTATGATAACCATTGTTGATTTCCTATTGTTTTGAAATCCTGTATCACTTATATTGTCTTATTTTGAATGGCTTTATTCTGTTTTATTTTACGTGGTTTTATTCTAAAATTAAAAAAAAAATAGTCCAGAGCTGGGAGTGGTGGCACAGTACCTGTAATCCCACCACTTGGGAGGTTAAGGCAGGAGGATCACTATGAGTTTGAGCCCAGCCTGAGCTACATAAGTGAGTTCAAGGTTAGCCTGCACTACATATTGAGACTCTTTTAAAAAGAAAATGGGTATAGTCAAAACTAGACTGTCAAGATGATTGAGTTTTAGTGTCTTTTAAATGACTGGCTAGGTCACATGTACAGCAGAAGTAATGTTCTCCCCTGGCTGGGGAGAACATTCAACACAGTAGCTAAACCGTTACTACCTCAGCAGCAGCAGAAATATGACGACTGCAATGTTCTGACTAAACACAGCCAGGGTTTAGCTGAATAATGTAAGCACCTGCCTGGTGAGCGCCAGGTCCTGAGTTCAAGTCATGGTACTAAAACACCCCCAAAAAACAATTAAATATAGTCCCTGTTGATATGACAGACACTCAGAGTTAGGCAGAACTCTGGGGAAACGATCTAAAAATCACCAGTATTAAATGGCTGCAGCCTGAAAAGCCTGGCAAGTCCAGGAGATGGAGTTTCCTCCTGAGACTTGTTCTATGCTGGCTCTGGAAGGACTGGAACCTCACCCATGGCAGATGTGTTGGATCCCCAGTGCCAGCCCACTCTTTCTACTGGACACTGACAGGAGCTGACAGGAGCTAACCTGCATCTCTGCTCAGAGTGACCCAAAGGCCTGCAGGCCTAGTCAAAGGGCCACATCAGTGAGGAAGATGATGTTTCCTTCTGACACAGCACACAGCATTGGTGTAGAGGCACACATGAACGCATCTGGGATAAATGGGCCTTTGTACCACCCCTCCTCTCAGCTGCTTTTGTTGTGACAGAGGCAGCAACAAAGACATTTATCACCAGGAGCCTGCTCAGCAGCTGTTTCTCACTGTTCCTTGTTTAACTTCTCTCAAGAGTGGAGTTATCTGCCCCACAAAGCAGGTGTTCAAGGCAGGTGATTCTATTTCCATTATTTTTCTTAAGTAATAACAGGCCAGACTAGGAGGTTATCTCCTGCACTCCTGGAGACACCTTGCCCTGCATCTGAGAAATCACAAACCATGTGCTTGGCAGGGACGTCCACTTCTGCCCCGCTGGTTCTAGCATCTATGAACCTCTAGTGCCAGCAGTAAGCAGAATCTAGGTGGCACAGCCCCAACCTTCTCTCCGATGCCTGGACTGCATTCTCTTTGGTACTGGGTTGGAGGGGAAATGAGTTTGGAGGTTTTTAAGTTCTTAGCAAAAAGCAGGCTAAGAAAAGCCTGATTCCTTTAGAGTCCAGCTACATGATCACATTAATGACAGCATTCATCATCCTGTGCTCCATGTTACCATGAGACACTTTAACACAAAATATGAAAAAATGTTTTTAAAAACGTTAACGCTCCAGGCCTCCCCTGTCAGCTGCAGATGGCCACTGTGCTCTGTGCATGAGAGCAGCACACGTCCCTGCCAGGCCAAACCCCATGGCTCGTCCATTACCTTCAGTGCTCTCCCACTGTGGAGCCATTTTCATGAGAAGCAAACATTCGGTGACACATTTCTCTCTCTCTATCCATGTAGTCCCTGTAATAGCTGCAGAGAGAAACACAGTGCGTCTGTTTGTAAGAGGTGACATCTGGTGGCTGGAATTCTCTGCTCAGGTGCACAAGCACACTCTGCAGGCCTTCCATTGAAGCTGCAGGGGCAGAAGCCAGGCCACAGAGGCTCGGAGCAGACAGGCCTGGCTCCTTAGCCTGTGGGAGCACACTGGGCACACATAGCCATGTCTTTGAAAAGACAACAGCTACAGAGGAGGCTCTGTCCCTGGGTCTCATGGCTAATTCTTGACAAGCAAGCCTTCCCACTCAGCGGCTCTTTATCTGGAGATTTTCTTGCTAGGTGACCGTCAGACCTCCAAACCCCTCCTCTAACCTGAGAGAATACTTTCACATCCCAGAATGGGAATTCCTGGAAAGTGCTGAAGGCCTGAAACACAACTGGATCCAAACAGAAGATGCACCCAACTCAAACTTGCAACGCCAAGAGAGCTTCAGCCAGCAGTATGGACTGACCATGTTGAGAGTAGAAAATATCAACAAAACTATGCCTTCAAAATTAGTAGCTATCGTACCAGGTGCAATCAATGATACATGGGTCAACTTGAGGACTGAGAAATTTTAGAAGCTTAACTAAGTAACTCTGCAGAGGGCTAGGGTCTTCCCTTTTACACATCCTGAACCTGTGCAAGAGAAAGGTCTGGAGATGGTGTGAGAAGGTAGCCTGTTTACAAGGGAGAAAAAGAGGCCGTTCTCCCTTCCTTTCGCTCTTGCTGCTTTTGCTGTCTTTTCTCACCTCAAACGGTGGTCCCTCACCACGCCACCCTGCATTGGAGGCCAGCTGATTATGGACTGAAACTTCCACAAACTGTGAGCTAAATAAACCTTTCCTTCACTCATTTTGGGTGTCGGGTATTTTGTCCCAGCAACAAGAGAAAAATAATTAAGACATTAGGTAACTCCTGGTTATAGAAAAATATTTTTAAAGTTTTCTACAATAAATCTGTAATTTTTATAATTAGAAAAATGACATTTCTAAAAGAGTAGTGTCTCTAACCCTCAGGTAAGAATCAGACCTGGCCAGCTTGTTTTGGATCCTACCAGGAACCCTGGGGTGGCCACATGTTGGGAAGCATAGGTGGATCTTAGCCGGTGAACAGGGCTGAGTCTGAGAAACAAGACCCTGCCAGGGCTAGCTGTCTGCAGGAGGTGGGAAACAGCTAGGCATCGAGTTTGGCAGTGCACTCTCCTCTCCACTGGGAGCTGCCAGGTCAGGACACTGAGCACTTGTGCAAACCTGCTTGGGGGCCACCTCCCAGGGGCATCTGGGCAACATTCCCTATCTGTTCTTCCCCTGGGGAAAATGGCCTGGAACTGGCCACATGCCTGTCCACAGATGTCTTACCTGGCCAGTTTCTTCAACTCATTATTGATGTCATGATTGAAGGGCTGCTCCTTCTGGGCGCGAACTAGGAAATCCCGGGCCTGCTCGTAGTCAGTCAGGAGGACACAGGCCTGTCAAGAAGGAGTGAACTTTAAAGGTAGACTGAGGTCCTACCTTGTGGTGCTGAAGCTGAACACCATGGCTTTCCGTTCCGGGGTGCTTGTTCCCAAGCCCCTCCCCCAGCTCACCTGTCCACACCTGAAGAGGGCCTTGGCATTCTTTTGGTCAATGACCAGAGCCTGCTCTCCATAGCGCAGAGCTGTGGCAGGTCGATGCAGCTTCAAGTATGCCAAGGACAGGTTCAGGAGAATGAGGAGCTTGGTGGCCTCTACCAGGTGCTGCTCTTCAGGGGGTACCACTCGCCGGTGCAGCAGCACCAAGGCCTGGGGAGAGGGCGGGAAAGGGGTCAGGAAAAAAACACCCAGAAAGCCTTGATAGGATAGAATTTACATGCACAAAACTATCAGAGCTAAAACCCAAGTTGGAAACATGGTAGGACATAAGATCAATATATAAATGACCTGATTACTGAAAGCCCACAGAGCCCATGCCTGAGTGAGGCAAAAGATGCACATACTCTGCTCTCTCCCGGCTCTGTAGGAATAAACAAGGCATGTGCCAACAAGAGCAAGGGCTGGAAGAATGTCACGCAGTCCCATGTGTGGGGTGACAAGGCTAACAGAGATGGGCAGTGATAGACCCAGAAGTGGAGCCATTGGAGGGGGCAGGTTCAATGTTCCCTCCTGTTTCTCTAGGTCCAGATGTCTGCCCCTCAGGAGTTAGGAGGCTACTTCTGGAGAATTGGAAGCAAAGAGACTCTTGATTCAGGGACAGGATGGAGCAGCCTCTATCCTGCTGCCCTGCTCACCCTGGAATGGTGCAGGGAGGAATCGACACTGGACAGGAGATGCAGGCTGAGGACACCCACACCCTGCTGTGCATGGCCACCAGCAGGCCATGCGGCAATCTGCCAAGCCCTTGGCCTCCCAAGCAGCTTTCGGACGCCCCTTCCAAATTTCAGTGGTCAGCTAAAGATCACCAGGCTCTGTGAACAAGGGTTCCTGCCTCCCAGCAGCTGTCCTCCATTCTTTCACAGTAACCGGATCTCCCTGCCAGAAACACGTCCATGCAGGATATGGGCATTTGCTAGTCATCTGGCAACTAGGGGTGGCCAGAACAGGTTTTAGAAAACATGGCCCAGCAGCAGCACAGTCCACAGCAAGACCCTTCCTCCAGGGTGAGCTGTATTCTCTGTCCTTTCTGCACTTCTTCGGCCCAAACTCAGAGACCATAGCCTGGACTGCAGGGCCCCCCGCAGAATGAGAAGTCTGGGAACCTGAACACTGTGAAGCTAGCCACCCCAGCCTGAATCTGCAACCATCTAACCCTGTCACCAAACGAAATCTTGGTCTTTATGCCACAGTTACTACAGTCTTTGGGAGTTGCCACCCAACTATGCAATTCTCCAGTGTACAGAAAACCACACAAAGAGAACTAAGACTTTAAAAAAAGATGATTCTAAGAAAACTTGAAAAAGTAACAAGTAGCCTAAAGAGACATAATATATGCATAAAATGAGAATGGAATTCCAAGATAAAAGAAACGACAAAACAAAATTTTAAAAATTCTCTTTTTTCCTTTTGAGATGGGGTCTTGCTGTGGTGGCTCGGCTGGTCTGGAACTTGTGGGCTCAGGCCACCCCCTGCCTCAGTGTCAGATGAGCTGGGACTGTGATCCTGGCTAGGAAAAATATTTTAAGTGAAAAATTCACTAGAAGAGATTGCAAAAATGGTCAGAAAAAGCTCCTAGACAGTAGAGGGAAGGGGAGAAAGATGTTAATGAGGAGGGGGTTAAAAAGAAAGGGCAACTCAAGGTGAGGAGCCTGATAATAGTAAGTGTTTTATTTAAAAAAAAGAGCAAAGGTGAGAGTCAGGGGATGAATTTAAGTTTCCCATAACTGAGGAAGAATTTCCTGAAAAAGATTGTGGTCCTGGGGACTGAAGCTGGACACCTCAGAGTGTACCACTGAGCTGTGTCCTCTGCCCTTTTTAAAAAAACTTCTGAGGCAGTGATTTGCCCAGGCTGGCCTTGAACTTGTTTGAGTCCAGTCCTGCCCACCCTTGGAAGTACCTAGAACAACAGGCACATACAACTGCGTCTCGCATTATCAGACCTAATAGTAATTTTAAAAGTATAAAAACTAGGAGTTTTTAGGTATGCAATGATATTTGGTATTAACATAAAGGAATACATTGGGAAAAACAGCAGCAAATCCTCAAAGCAGAATGAGAGATGCCCCAGGGACTCATGGATGGGAGGCTGGACTTTTGGAAAAGTGCAACAAACGGTTTCCTAGCCATACATGGTAGTGCATGCCTGTAATCCTCACACTCTGGAAGGCCGAGGCAGGAGGACTGCAAGGTGGAGTCCAGTCTGGACAATTTAGATTCTGTCTTAAAAAATAAATAGGGGTTGGGATGTAGTGCAGTGTAAAGCCTGGGTCCAATCCCTAGTAGAGCAAAAAGAGTGTGTGTGGGTTCCCTTCTCATAAGAAAGTTTCGAAACAAACAGGAAAAATCAGAAAACTGAGCAATGGAGAGGTAATTTTAAAGGGGCAAAAAGGAATGCTGCAGAAGAAAAAGGATGAAGTGTAGGAAACTACTTAGCTCAGCAGGATGTTATATTTATACAGTCTTAATAATGCAAAACTGAGCATCAATGTTTAAAATGACACACTGATACTGGGAAAACAGAAGGGAGAGTAAGAACTAAAGCCTCATCTTCCATAACGAGAAACCAAAAATGTCAAGAAACAACAAGCCTTTGTCAAGGCTGAGCAGGGAGAGAAGAGCAGACACAATTAGAAAGTGATGGCCCAGGGGCGAGACTCAGGAAGGAGATGGGTGCAAGAGTGCAGGGTACCGGGGTAAGCAAGGAGGCTCTGGAGAAGTCTCAGAGCTGACAGGATCCTCGACTCAATCTCACCCCTCGCCAAAGCGGCACCTCGCAGGTGCAGGATTCCAATTCTGTATTCCAAAAAGGTGACCAACATGTCCACTCTCCTGCCTCCCTCTGGTGCACACTGACGTTAAGTCAAACGTGGCAGGTGCTGTCATCCAGTGTCGCGCTCCCTTTCTGGCAGAATGCCTTTCTCATTCCAAATAGCGCTGAACCACTTCAGAAAACTATTTTGGGCTGAGGATCTAGCCCAACGGTGGGACACTTGCCTAGCACGCATAGACCCCAAGGTGATCCACATCATATACAGAAACAAAACCAAAGTCTCATTTCCCGGCTTCCCAGACAGCTCAGAGTGTCTCTAGAACAGGGGTCTGGCCAGTGAGATGTAAAATCCCCATGGGGACTTCTGGAAAATTGTGAGCACAACACACAGACACACAGACACACACATCTCTGCTTCCCTCTCTTCCTCCAGCCCAGATGACTGAAGACTGAGTGACCTTTTTGGGGGAAGAAGAAAACAAAGAATGCCTAGGGATGGCTAAGCAGAGAGAAAGGATGGGGTCTCCCCAAGGGTTGTGTGGAACCACTACACCAGCCCTGCATGGCCTCCCTTTGAATTCCTTTCCATGAAAAAAACTGCATGTACTGTTTCTCAGGATTCTGTCACTTTCAGCTGAATGCAAGTCCTGAAGGGCTTATACTTAGTATACAAATCAGACCAAATCACAATGCCCCTAAATTCTGTCCTGTTCACTTGTGGCAACTGGAGTGCAGCTGGGTACACCCAAAGTGCTCTTGATATTTGTTGAATAAATTACGAAGGACACAGAAAAGGGCTGTCAGTATGCTGTACCCTGGAAGCACCACAGTCAGAAAGCTGGCAGACCAGAATCACCCAGAGTGAGACTATCTCTGCCATCTGAGGCACCTGAAATGCAGGTGGCAGGCAGGGTGGAGAATCGGTGGGTGGAGGACCAAATCCTGGGAGTGTTTTTGGTTTTTTGAGATAGGGTCTCACTCTACAGTATAGGACGGCCTCAAACTTGAGTGATCCTCCTCCCTTGACTTCCCACATGCTGGGATCACAGACTTGTGCCACCACAGCTGGCTTAGCAGGATTTTTAATTGCTGAATTTTACTTTTCAGAGCATTGAGATGGAAATTTTTTGTATGTCTAATTAAATTAATATATTCATACAGGTAAGTACAAATTAGTACACTGCTCAATGAACTTTCACAACCAAAACACACCAGTATAAATGCAGCTAGATGAACCTACTCAATGTCACATATCCTCCAAGCCCTTGTGTCCCATCCCAGTTCATTGTCCCTCTGGCACAGGATTTTCTTCAGTGGGGCTTTTCTTAACGGCGGCCCATGGAGTCCACATGGAAAAGTCTACTTTTTGAGTGAGGAAGTTCTCAGGTTCTACACTTAACTTTCAACGTATTCTTACCCGTTTATACCTCACTTTGGCATCATAGAAGCGATTCTGGCGGAAAAGGTAGTTGCCAAGGTCCTTTTCGGTCGTTGCCACTTTGAGGACTTTCTGCAGTGGAAACTGGTCTTGTTGCTCCTGAGGACCAAAGACAGAAACTCTCAGTAAGAAAGCCAAAGCCACAATGCCACCATGGAAGTAGTATTCCAACTGTGAACCATTTCTGTAAACTGTGAACTTGTTCACAGCCTTAGGAATATCAAAGATGTGCGAGTGCCATCAGAGGCTACCATGGTCAGTATGATGGCCAAGCCCCTTTCCAGACCATGCCAGGAGAACGCCTGCTGCTTTCCTTAGTCCTCCTGAACTGTCCCCAGACAGCTGTCTCCGTGGACTTGGGAGATAATGGAGCTCAGGCTCACAACCACCATTTACCCAACAAGCAGGCAGCAGGTCCTGTCTGCTAGAGCTCTGGGTCTTTCTGGCCAGGACGCACTGCCATGGCCCCTTAGCAGAATTACCTTCAAAGACTCTTTTGTCCCAGTCCACCCACAGAGCCTCAATCAGTCCCCCAGGTGTGGGACCCACGCATTGGCAGGGATTTCTGCTCTGTGGAAAGATGAATTCAGGGTGAGACCCTCACAAGGAGTGCTAACAGCTTAACTGAGGACTCTGAATGTGGAGATACAACACCCAGGATATAACGGCCACATGCAGTTCCAGTGCACAGAAGACGGCATGGTAAACATGGTGCATGTGCTGGAGGGGATTAGAAGCCCTGTGCCTGAACAAGTGTAAGGAAAGGGTACAAAGAAAAGGGCAGGCTTAAGTTATGAGAACAGTGACTGTACATTCTGGTCTTCCTGAGACTGTCCCAGTTCACACCTCACGTCCTGGCTGTGTCGTTCAGCTAACAGCCACTTTTACTGTCAAGGGTCGTGGGCTGACCATCGCCTACACACTCACCCTATAACTATCTGCTAACAATGCCTAACTGGCTGGAAACTGAACAGTGTAGAAAAACAAATGTGCACTGTCTTGTGTGGAAAATAAACCAGAACTTTACCAGACAGGCAAGATTAGGAAGGAGAAGCAAGGAGGCTCGGGTGGAAGCAGGGCTTATGAACTTCGGCAGGGGAGCCTGTCTAGAACCACCAAAAGCACAAACCATCCTGTCCCTGTGAAGTGCTGGTGTCTGTGTTCCAGAACTTACAGCTGAGAGGGCACAGAACTTGTCCGACTCAGCAGAGTCAAGGAAGTCAAGTAGCTCAATTTCAAACAGAACAGTGGCATTTGGAGGGATGAGGGGTGGGCAGCCCAAAGCTCCATAGGCATAGGTTGGCTTGAACAGAAACCTGGCCAGCTCCCCCTTCCGCATGGTCAGCAGGCCCAGCTCCATGCCCCAAAGTGTGATATCTGTAAGAAGAGATCAAGAACGTGGTTGAAACTTGCCTGGCATCCTGTTTGGTGCTAATGGTTTCTTCCCCCCGCCCAAATCCAAACCTCTCGAAGTGCCTGCTTAGGCCTTCTGCCCTGTGGTCCCAACTCACTCAGCCTTAATACCCACTGTCCCCACCACTCCCAACTCTAGCTTCTCCAGGCTCGGCAATATTCTGGCCTATTTCTGTCACATGCTTCCTTTTTCCCAGAATGTCTTCTTCCTCACTCCATGTCCAGCTTTCACCCCCACTAACACTTACACTTCAGGGTTAGTTCCAAATGCCTCTTCTTCCACGGGCCATGTGATCTTCCCAGCTGGAACTAACTGGGCCTTAATTAAGCATATGGCAGCACTACTCAGCTCTCCCAACCACTCATCCAATTCTACCAGGTTACTGTAGCTGCCAAATGCAGGTCAATCTCCATGACCACAAAAAACCGTTAAGGCCAGAGAGGTTCTAATCCGCCCAGTACAACTTCTCTTTTCATCATGCACGGTGGGAAACAAGCATTCAGTAAATACTCAATCCACAGACAAACAAAAATTTCTCCGCAGGCAGATCAGGGAGCAAATTTAACCTTGCCAGGCAGACCTGGGTCTCATGGGGAAATGTGGGAGAGCACATGGCTGATTCACCGAAACCAAGCCTCAGAAAAACCAACCCTAGACATAACCTGTGCTCTGTACATATTTCTAATCCAAAAGCATTGCGCTTCATTTGTCCCCAAGCAATCCCGTTGTTTCCAGCTCCCAGTCTGAATTTACCCTCGCCAAGCTTCATTAGACGAGGTGTTTTCCTAAAGCAGTTAGAATCAAAAGGCTTGTCCATGTGCTCCAGGTATCCAGAGTATTTCACTAGGACAGAAGAAAAAGGGTGAGGAAAAACACAAGAGTCAAGCACACCCTATGAAGTCTTGAGTTATCAAGGAGGAAATGCTGCCCAGCATAGGAAGACTTTTCCCACCTCTGGACGCCTGCCCCCGGCTGAGGTTCAAGGGCTCTGCTGCTGTGCCTGGCACTTTGCTCCCTGGGGTGTGAGGCAAAGGGGAGATGAAATGCCTTGCTTTCCTCTTAAAAACTCCCATCCAAATGAAGCCTTTTTAATCCTGTCCTGTAAAATGCCTTCTTTCTCTCTCTCTGAACTACTGGGGTTAAACCCAGGGCCTTCATATTGAGCTAGGATCCCAGGTGTTTTTTAAAAAAATTTTTAGATAGAGTCTTGCCAAGTCATTAAATGGCCCAAGCTAGGCTTGAATTTGCAATCCTTCGGTCTCAGCCTCCCAGGCCAGCCATAATGCTGTTTTATAGTGTGCCTTTCCTCGTCCCAAAACGAAGTGCCATCACAGTTTCTAAATACAAAGGGCAGCCAGGCTGCAGTCAGCCATACCAAGCACAGAGGCGTCCGGTGTCACCAAATCTCCAGCACCTTCTCGGATGACATCCTTCAACACGCCCCCGTCCCCAGAAATGTCCAGCATCTTCTGGCTTAACCGCTGGTACTGCGACTGGTGAACAGCAAAGGCCAGACCTCAGCGCCCCATGGCCATCCGAGGGCGGCCATTGCCAGTCAGTGACCCCAAAGCAGTGTCCTGGGCACCTTCATCCGGCCTAGTCGTTTGTCCCTGCCCAGGACTCCCGAGCGCTGCGCGCTTCGCCGCCATGTCCACGCTGCCTGCCCTCCCCGCAGCGCGAGCTCTCAGGCCCCTTAAGGCGCTGTGAGCCCAGCGCGTTCTGAGCGTGGCCCACCGCCCCTTTCTACCTGGCCGTCGGCTCCCGCCAGCCGCATTTCATTCTGAGGCCGCGAGAAAGCGCTCATTGCTTCAGTCCAACCACCGCCAACTGCCTTCTCGCTCTAAGAACCCCGGATACCTGCGGGCAAGTGCTAGTAAGTATGGAGCCCAGGAGCGTGCTGGGGGCGGGCCCGGCCTGAGCACGTGACCAGGCGCGCAGAGCCTGATGGGTGGCGGGGCTTCGCAGAGCACGCTGGGGCACGTGCTTGGGGCTTGCAGAGCGTGGAACACGCACACGTGACTGGGCGCACAGAGGATGGTGAGACATACAACTGAGTGCGCTGGGCAGAAAGGGGCTGTGACAGGCCCCACGGAGCACAGGAAAGCTTGCAGGCACAGCACGGATACTGTAATATGCACAGGAACGTGGTAGGTCGGGTAGGAGGCGCAGGGAACAGTGGGGTTGCAGGTGGGGCGCACCGCTGGGGCGGGCTGAGGAGAACTCCGGAACCCAGCCTGGGCCAGGCTCCGGTGTCTGCTCTTGCTTCTCCACAATGACTTCTCCAAACGGTGGTCATTTTATTATTACCCCTTCCCCCTGTCGTTTCTCTTCATGTGCCTTCAATGCCACTTTTCCCTGCATCGTGACATCAAGAAAACAACCGCTCTTGTGGTCACATCTCTCAGGCATATCTTCATGCCCTGGCTGTCAGTCTTAGCAGTTGACAAAGTTGACTTCTCTGACCTTTAAGCACTTTTTCTCTTGGCTTCTGGATTAGCATTAGTGTTCTATTACTGTGTTAACAAATACCCGTAACGCTAGCGGCTTAAAGCGGCACCTACTCCTTATGTCACAGGTGAATAGCTTAGAAGTTCCTACTCTTTATCATTGGGCCAAGATCAAAGTGTCAGCAAGGCGTGTTGTTTGCTGCCCTGGGAAGAGTCCTGTTCCAAGTTCATTCAGGCTGTTGGCAGAATCCCGATTCCTGCAGCTCTAAGAATGATGTCACCATCTCATAGCTTCAGAACAGTGGATTCTGCTCAAGCTTGGAATCCTCTTCAGCCACATCTTTCTGATTCCAGCCGAATAAAGTTCTCTGCTGATAAGGGCTCATATGATTTAATTAGGCCTTCTTAGATATTCAGGTCCATGACCTTAACTACATCTGCAAAATAGTCTCTTGCCATGTGAGGTAAAGTTCACAGATCCCAGGGATTACGGGCGATCTTTGGGGCGTTCTGCCTCCCATGGATTCCAGGACACAGGACATCTCTCTTTGATTTCCTCCCACCTCACTGGCTGGCCTTTATTTTTTTTTTAAATTTTATTTTGAATGTAGTAAAAATACAACAGAACAAGACAGAACCAAGCCAATCGAAACAACGCAGTGACATTGGTACAGGACTTCACAGCAGGATACTGGTATAGTAGTAATAGGTACTATAGTATATCTTGTTATCTTCACAATAGTTGTCCAGTCAATTAGGTATAGCAAAATCAAACCAATAACAGAACATTGTAAAGCCAATTGAAGGAGAATATTGAATAGAGCAAAACAATCATTACAAAACATAACAATGAAAATAACCTTTGCCTTCAAACGGAGCATAGAAGGAAACGCCCCATATTTGCTATATTGCCTATGGTCATCCTCCCAAGAGATGCTCAGAACTCTGTCCCCAGTTGTTGATGGGGTGTTGGAGATGTTTGATTCTCAGCCTGAGCTCTGGTAGGCTCACGGGAACAGCTGACTGGTTCTCCCAGCTGGTGCCAGGGGTGCTTACCAAAAGGGCGGGCAAATTACCTTCTTGTGCAGCCACCTAAGTGCCAACATTGCCCGGTCTCGGGTTGGCTGGCCTTTCTTAGTCATCTTCTTCCGGACCCCTAATCATCGGCAAACTCAGTCCCCATCCTTGAATCTCTTGTGTGTCCCACTGTATTTTTCAATCTCTGAGAGATTGCACCCCTTTCTAAAGCTGTACATGTGTTGGACCTAAGTATATGTGATTCACAGACAGACAGCCTGTTTTCCCCGCTGAGCTGCAGAGCTGCAGGCTCCTGTGGTTCATTGCCTTTTTTACTGATTCTCAATGAGGAGTCCCCGTGCCAGCAGCATCCATGTTGCCAAGGACCATTTTAGAGAAGAACATTTTTTTTTTTTTTTTTTTTTTTTTTGTCGTAGTGAGGCTTGAACTAGGGCCTTCCTTGTGCATGCTAGGCAAGCACTCTTTCCATGGAGCTACATCTCCAGTCACTTTTTAAATTTTTATTTTGAGATGGGATCTTGCTATTTTCCCAGCCTGGCCTCAAATTGTGACTTTCCTGTCCTCTTCTGAGAAGCTGGGATTACAAACACACGCTACGTACGGTTCCTGTCTTAGAAGTGTACATTCTTGGGCTTGTGCATGTACTCCTGAAACACTCTCAGGCCAGGGCCCAGAAGTCTATGTGTTAACAAATCCTCCGTGGAGGGGCCAGGGGTTTAGCTCAGCAGCATAAGTGCCTATTTGGCAAGCTTGAGGTCATGAGTTCAATCCGCAGTACCAAAAAAACCCTCAAAAAACAAATCCTCCATGGAACTGTGCTGTTTCCTGAAATCTGCAGACCCCTAGGCTGGCTCGGCCACTCCATCTGGACATTACAAGCATCTGACTCTGGGTTTCCCCATCCACTTTTCTCATCTTAGTTTTTGTCACTGTCATTGGCATCAGTGGCCATGTGCCCAGGTGCTCAAACCACTGTGAGCCGTGATCTTGGGTAGAAGCAAAACAGCAATGCTGTGTTGAAAATATAAATCAGATGTTATTTCCTTACTTTATTGTGGTGTGTGTGTGTGTGTGTGTGTGTGTGTGTGTGTGTGTGTAGTTTTTTGAGACAGGGTCTCACTATGCAGTTCAGGCTGGCCTTGAGGTTACTTGTAGCCCAGGCTGGCCTGGAACTCACAATGATCCTCCTGCCTCAGCCTCCCAAGTGCTGGGATTACAGAAATGAGCCACCAGGCCTGGCTGTATTTCCTTAAGTTAAAACTCTGCAGTGTTCAGTCTCCCAACACAGAAGTGGGGGGATCGCTTTCCAGTGATTCCCACTGCCCTTGGAGTTGCAGCCAAACTGCCCTGGCTTAGGGGGCCAATCTCTGCCAACCTCTCTGGCCTCATCTCCTGAAACTCTTGATCCCTTGCTGTGCTCCTGCCATCCATTTGCCCTCTCTAGTGTGCCTTGTAAATACCAACCTCTTCCCAGCTCTTCGTTCTTACTAACCTGTTATCTAGGCAGCCTTTCAGATGGCTGGCTTATTTGTATTCTTTACTTATTATGTAAAGTCTTGTAGGAGTCCATGAATTTTGGCTGGGCACCTGATCTAGGCCCAACATACTGAACCAATGTAGAATTTAGTCACAGTAACTGAGTTTTGATTGGCTGCAGAAAGCTGTATGGCCAGTTAACTAATAAAGCTGTAAAAAAAACAAAAACAAAAACAAAAACCCAACTAGTTAAGCTGTAACCAGTTGACTCAGCAAGAGCCAGTTAAGTTTTCTATGCTTTGCTTCTGTTTTTCTGTCAGTACTGCCGGATCACATTGTTGGTTGGTATTCTCAGACCCTTCCTTGGTTCTAAAAGCTACTGGATTAATCATTTTTGTTTTGCTTCATTCATATAAACTTTACTAAGTTTAACTGGTCTAAGGCGTTTGCTTTGCCTTTTTAAATCAGTATTGTGGGTTGAAGCCAGGGCCTTTACCCTGAACTGTATCTTACCCATATCTAACTTTTTATTCTGAGATGGGGTCTCACTAAGTTGCTGAGTTGTCCCGTGTGGGCTCAAACTTAGTCTTCCTGCCTCAGTCTCCCAGAATGCTGTAATGACAGGTGTGTGCCACCATATATGGCTAAGAGTTTTGTTTTGTTTTGTCTTGTTTTAACAAGCTCAACTGGCATACCCTCAAAGACATTCCTGCCCTTTGTAAAACGGTCCCTCACACAGCTGGTCACCCATCCCTTTTCTCACCGCTGTTTACTTCCTGCATGGCATTTAACACTAGTATAGTGTGTATTTTTGGCAGATACCACCCCATCTCTATTATAAACTTCTGAAGAACAGGGACTTTGTCTTCTCTCTACTATATCCTGAACACCCAGCTCAGTGCTTGACACATAACAGGCACTCAGTAGGTATCTGAGTTAAGTAAAATGAGCCTTCTCCTCGCCTCGTTTGTTGTGGGAAGAGATCTCACCCGCTGGTAGGACTGGTGCTCAGATCTCTTGGATCCAGGTCTGTGCTTCCTGTCTTTTCCAATCAATATTTCCCCCTCCCTCCATGTAATGTAGATCTGATGACCTCAGCATCCACTGACTTTATGATAGAATGTCATAATAGAATCTTGAATGACTGCACATTTTAAAAGTTCATAATTTAGTAACACTGAACAAAAGAAGATGCAAAAGAATGCATGCTATGTGACTCAGGTGATGCAAAGTTCAGAAATGGGACCCATGAGGATAGAAGTCACAGTGGCAGCCACCTCTATTTTAGGGCCTATGGTTGAGAGGGGGGAGGCACCAGGACCCCAGTGCAAAGTGCTAGAATATTTTACAACTTGGAAAGTGAAGATTCCAGCTAAAGGTACTTCAAACTGGGGAGTTAAGATTTGTGCACTGTAACTAGGAGTGGGGACACATGCTTGTAATCCCAGTACCCTGGGAGGCTGAGACAGGAGGATCACCTAAATTTGAGCCCAGCCTTGACTATGTAGTGAGACCTTGTCTTCAGAGAAAACCAAAAACCCTCAGAAATAAAGATGGAAAAGTAAAGGGGGGGGTTCAGTGGGAAGACCCTGGGTATAATCTCTAGGACTGAAAAAAACCCACTTTATTAAGTTATTCTTGAATTTAAAAATCTAGATTAAAATACAGAATTCTGCAAGAGACAGCTTCAGAAAACAGCATGCCACCCATAGCACGTGTCTGCTATATTCGGGACACACCCCCACCCAGGCAAGGCCGCCACCTGAACGTTGAGGTTATCAGTGGAGGCCCAGCAGAGGCTGCCTCTCCAGTCGCGTGATGTGACCTAGTTTCCACCTGATTCTGGGTGACCTTGGAGGCAGGGGTGTTGCTGGGAAAGGGGAGGAGAACAGGGGTGGAGACCAAACGGCATGAGGGATCCAGCTGTGCTCCCCAAGTCCCCGGCTGCCTCCCATCCTGCCAAGAACTTGGAGCCTGAGTGGAGGCCTGGCGGATCCGGAGAGACCAGGTAACTCGGTGTCAGCACTGTCTCTGGGGCTCCTCTCTGCCAGTCAGCTTCCACCAGGGAGTCAAGCCCTGCCTGGCCCCAGACTCTGGGGGAGAGCGGTGTTCCTGGATAGAATTCTCTGTTCTAGAATTGCCTGGGAGCGTCTACTACAAATGCAGGCTTCCAGGTCTCATTGGAGCCCCCACCAGTAGAATCCCTGAAGGGGATCTGTCTGGGAATCGGGAACCCCAGTGGAACTAAGCTTCCGGACGCTGTTTGACTGTGCCAGACCATGGAAAGGAGCAAAAGCTTGTGTTTCCATCCAGTTTTAGGCTGCAGAACTGCTGGGGCCGGCGCCCGCTCCCCCCTACCCCCTTCACGTCTATTCCCAATCTAAAGTTACAAGGTAGAATTCATCTGTCTCCATTGGCCTCTTCTGGACCCAAGCCCTCTGTTTTACAGATGGGGAAACTGAGACCCAAGTTGATAGTGAGTTAAGCCTGGAATCCAGGGCTTGGGTCCTGCCCTGAGTTCTGGCAGCCTATGGCCTGCAAGGTGGGCAAGTGCAGACCAAGGGTGGGAGGGGCAGGACCGAGCCAGCTGCCTGTGTTTCAGCCCTGGCAGTGTGTATGGCGTGGCAGGCGAGTGTGCCTGAGCTGCAGGACCAGCTTCAGTGTCCCATCTGCCTGGAAGTCTTCAAGGAGCCCCTGATGCTGCAGTGCGGCCACTCCTACTGTAAGGGCTGCTTGGTGTCTCTGTCCTGCCACCTGGACTCGGAGCTTCGCTGCCCCGTGTGTCGCCAGGAGGTGGATGGCAGCAGCTCCCCACCCAACGTTTCCCTGGCCCGGGTGATCGAAGCCCTGCGGCTCCCTGGGGCCCCGGGGGCCATGGAACCCGCAGTCTGTGAGCACCACCGAAACCCACTCAGCCTTTTCTGTGAAAAGGACCAGGAGCTCATCTGTGGCCTCTGTGGCCTGCTGGGCTCCCACCAGCACCACCCCATCACGCCGGTGTCCACCGTCTACAGTCGCATGAAGGTGAGAAAGGTGGGCTGGGCGCCTACTTTGAAGCTACCTCTGCACTCTCTGGCGCCACCATCTGGCAGAAACTACAGTGTGTCCCCGGCAGGACTTGATTTCCCCCAGCCCTGCCCTGGAGGATGCATGCTTTCAGTCAGGCATCATTTTGAGCAGGTTCTGACCCAGGTGCTGAACCAGGGAGCTCCTGCTGTCGCTTGGCAGCCCCTTCCTCTGGGGTTCTTTGTATTCCTGGTTTGTTCCTAGAGCGCAGACCTCCTTGTGTGCTCAGAAGGTGGGCACTTTGATTGTCTGTTGTATTTCAGTGCCCTGAGCCTTATCGCTGTAAATACTCTCAGGGTATTTGTTGAATCAGTGAATCCCTGACTCCACAGGGCACAGCACCAGACCAGGACATCATCATTTAAGATGCCGAGGAACAACACCATCCAGGTCGCAGGCTTAATGCGAGGCTTCCAGGACTGTCTCATCTGCACAATTGCATTTGCTGCTTCTGGGAGGCAGGCAGGGTGGGGTTATTACTGTGTTTTATAACTGTGGAGACAGGCTCAGAGAAGGAAGAATCTTAACCAGGTTCATACCCACATGGCTTGTAAGTGGCAGAGCCGGTGCTCCAGCTAGGGCAAGCTTCCTTTCCACTGCTACAGGCTGAGAAGTGTCAGGAAAGGGAAGGTACTTGGTTTGGTGATTGGTTAGGAAGTCCTGTGTGACGAAGGAAGGGATTTGGATTTATTCAGAGGCTCTGGGTGGGCGAGGTGACCAGTGGCTTTGAAGCAGGGTGATGATGTGGTTGGACCCCTCTGGCAGAGGGTAGACTGGACTGTGTGTGCAGGAGGATAGAGTCAGACACAAGGGTGTCAGGACCTGAGTGAACAGGGATGCAAGGGCACCCTGGAAGATACCTAGGAAGAAGATGAGGACAACACCCTGAGGACTGAGTGTGGGAAGTTGACTGACTTCCTCTGGCACCAACGAGGGCACACACGGAAGGATCTGCGGCTGGACCGCCCAGGGGAGGTGGGGCCAGGCTGGCCATAGGACGCAACCCCTATACCCTCTATCAGTTCCTCTGTCTGCTCTCTTTTAGGATTTCTTGCTATTTCTGTCTGTAGGGTCTAACTTAGAGTTTCCTCTGCCTGTGGCCATGTTGACAGGATCTCTGCCTCATCAGGTGACGAGTGAATTGTCCTTCTGGGGCTGCAGCAAGATGCTCTAAGGCCTCAGAGCAAGGACATTGTGTCTACCTCTCCTTACACTGGCTTTATTCTTAGCTCCTTTCTGAAATCCCTGCATATCTCTCTCTCTCTCTCTCTCTCTCTCTCTCTCTCTCTCTCTCTCTCTGCCTTTTTGAGACAGGGTCTCACCATGCAGTTTAGGCTGGCCTTGGACTCACTTTGTAACCCAAGCTGGTCTCAAACTTGCAAAGACCCTCCTGCCTCAGCCTCCCAAGTGTGGGGATTACAGGCATGCACCACTATGTGCAGCTCTTTTATGCATTGGGATACTCTAAACCAGAGACCCAAAACACATCCCAGCCACAAACCAGCAGGGTCTGGGCCAGCAGTGAGCAGATCATGGTACAGGGGGCCGGTTTGGCACCCCGGAGGCTGGGCATACTGGGATCTGGGCAGTCTAGAAGTGCACATATGTCCACCCACAGAGGCCTGACATCAAAGCTGGGATGGACTCAGATATGTGCAGGGGGAAGGTCATTGGGTTTTACTTGTGCCACTGTAAGCAGCATCGGCTTCCTTGGGGCAGCCTTTTCGTGACGACTCCTGATAAATTAATTCTGGGCCCACTGGTGATTGCAATTTACCAGTGATTCTCCTATGGCCCGCATTAGATGCAGGGAGAGTTGGCTTCAGATTATGAGTTGTCACTCTCAGATGTTGTGTGGTGGATTCAGGTAGCTGTACATCCTTGTTCCAGAGAGGGATGACATTGAAATTCCTCCTGTCTTGGCAATTCCTGTGGCCATGTGGAATGTCTTGAATACTCTTAAACCTATTTTGGGGCCAAGGGGAACTGGGTAGTTCTGGTTCCGGCCTTGTCCCCCTGGAGGTGTTTGTGGCCACTGGATTATGTCAACAAGGGACAGCCCCAGAGTTGGCCTGAGGAGCAGAGGGCATGGGAGGTCCCCAGATCATGGAACCGTGGCTTGTTGACTCCAGGAGGAGCTCGCAGGCCTCATCTCTGATGTGAAGCAGGAACAGAAGGAGGTGGACGAACTTATTGCCAAACTGGTGAACAACAGGACCCGGATTATCGTGAGTGCCCTTTACCTCTGAACTTGCCCGCAGAGCTCGGTGGTTTTTTTCTGTGCTGGCGATGGAACTTAGGACCTCGTGCATGTTGGCAAGGGCGTGACCACTGAGCCACACCCCCAGTAGGCCCAGTTCTATTTGTCCTTTACTAAAAACCGTATCTTCCATACAAAGCAGAGTTCAAAGCATTCCGGAGTGGGTGGGGAAAGTGCAAAGCCTCCTAGGAGAATTCAGCCCAGTTGTCAGGCAGGACTGGCTCCAAGTTGGCTCTCGTCCTCCATGTCCTTGGTGTTGAGATAACCCAGCCCATGAGGCCCAGCGATAAACAGCCTGAAGCTCAGGCATGACTTTCCTACCCCTTGGTGCCATTTGTATCTGTCTGCCCTTGACAGTCTGATGTGGTGCCCTCCCAGTACCAGGAGGGGGTAGAGGCCTAGCGGGGGAGCCGTGGGTGCTGTCTGCCTTACCTGAGTGAGTGGCCTGCTGGGGTGAGGGCTGCTACAGGAGGAGCAGAAGTGGCTGCCTGGTCCCTCAGCACTTGGTTCATCGGGGTATTAGTCCTGGGCCGCTCCCTCCCAAGCCTGCTCCCTACTGGGGCCCTTCTGGTCTTGCTCAGTTGTGTACCTACAGTCTCAGGTGTACACAGGCAAAATAATTAACACAGGCAAAAGCAGAGCTGTTCATTGTGAAAGAGCTGTCCCTGATCCCCATCCCCAAGTGTCCCCTGGGGACACTGAGGCCACTCACTGCAGCCAGGCGGCTTGCAGCTGACTCTAAATGAGCCACTCTCCCTTGGCCCAGAATGAGTCCGATGTCTTCAGCTGGGTGATCCGCCGAGAGTTCCAGGAGCTGCACCACCTGGTGGACGAGGAGAAGGCTCGCTGCCTGGAGGGTGTGGAGGGGCATACCCGCGGCCTAGTGGCCTCCCTGGAGATGCAGCTGAAGCAGGCCCAGGGCACTCGGGAACGGCTGGCCCAGACCGAGCATGTGCTCCAGCAGTTTGGTAATGAGAGCCACCACGAGTTCATCCGGGTGAGTGACACAGGGAGGCCCCCAGCCCTCCCTTCCCTGACAGCCAAGTGGCTTTGCCATAGCCATCGCCTGCCTCTCTCCTGTCTTCCAGAAGTACCACTCCATGACCTCCAGGTAACAACTGCAGTGGAGCTGCTGGAGGACCCCCCACCCCCTATTTGGTTTAACCAGCCACCCCTGGGAAACTTCTCATATCCTGCTGTGGTCCCTGCTCATATCCAGCCCAGGGCAAACTGCAAAAGTCACATCCCTGCTTCAGGGGTCTTGCAGGCTGCTGGGGAAGCAGGTGGCACATGGTGGCCCTAGAGCTGTGTGGACAGGAATATTGGTGGGCATTGAAAGAGCCACACAGGCATGAGGGCTGAAGGCAGGGGACCTCAGTGTGACCCTGGGCAGGAAGTGGAGTAGTGCTGTGCAGGGTGAGGGGGTTGTGCTGGGGTGTTAGCAGAACAGGAGTAGGGGAGCTGAGGAGGGAGGCCCAGGAGCCTGTGCTCTCAGGGCCACTGCTAGGAAGGAACTGGGCGCTCCAGAAGAGGACAAGGAGGCCATGGTGGGCAGCGTGAGTGCACATCCCACATGTGGATTTGTCCAGGTGGCCTCCCATGTGGGACAGGGTGGGCTGTGGCCGTGGGCACAAAGCTCTCCCAGCCCTGTGACTGTCACCCACAGAGCAGAGCTCCAGCAGACACGGCCCTTAGAAAGCACATTCAGCCCTATCTCCTTCAAGCCAGGCCTCCACCAGGCTGACATCAAGCTGACGGTGTGGAAAAGGCTTTTCCGGAAAGTTCTGCCAGGTGAGGCACCAACCTGTCTTCTTTCATGAGTAGCGTCAGGGGTTGACATCCAAGGGACTCAGAGGAAGGAGCATGGGCAGGGGTGAGTGCCTGGGGCTGGTTCCGCAGACTGGGTGTACTGTGTCATTTCTGAGCCTCAGGCTCCTCATCTGCAAAGAGGGGCTGTGAACACCTGCCTGCCTGGGTTTCAGAATTCGTGCACACTCACCTGTGTGTAGTTTAATGCTTGGCAAGCTGTTCTCTGCTAAAAACCGTGTTGAATTTGCTCCTTTAGTCCTACCATGCCGTTTATGTGCAGAGATCACAGCAGACTGGTTTCCCCCACCAGAGGCAAAGATCAAGTTTGTGTAAAAGAAAGGGGAGGAGGAGTGGCAGCTGGTGAACCGCAAATCGTGCCTGCACTCTTCCAGGCAGGTCAATGGAGCTCACTAGTTTGCTCTTTCCTCCTGCTGTGCTATCCAGTTCCCAACAGGCCTCAGACCCATACATTTCATGCACAGGGCTGGGGGGACCCTGCCTCATTAGCCTTCCGGCTCCCAGTCCTGAGACTGCAGGCCTCAGCCATCATGCAGCCCTTTGTCTGGCATACAGCTGAGCCCTGGCCTCTTCTAGGCTCTGGAGACCCAGGGCCCCCCCTCCTGTGAGGAGCTCAGGGCCTGCCCCTGCCTGCGGTGGGTTCTGCTGCGGTCGGTAGATGTGGCTTAACGCTAGGCCTTTCCTGCTCTCCCAGCCCCGGAGTCTCTCAAGCTGGATCCCGCCACTGCCCACCCACTCCTGGAGCTCTCCAAAGGCAACACAGTGGTACAGTGTGGACTCCTGGCCCAGCGGCGTGCCAGCCAGCCCGAGCGCTTCGATTACAGCACCTGTGTCCTGGCCACCCGGGGCTTCTCCTGTGGCCGACATTACTGGGAGGTGGTGGTGGGCAGCAAGAGTGACTGGCGCCTGGGCATCATCAAGGGCACCGCCAGCCGTAAGGGCAAGCTGACCAAGTCCCCAGAACATGGTGCATGGCTGATCGGCCTCAAGGAGGGCCGCGTGTACGAGGCCTTCAGCTGTCCACGGGTGCCGCTGCCCGTGGCGGGCCACCCCCACCGCATCGGGGTCTACTTGCACTATGAGCAGGGGGAGCTCACCTTCTTCGATGCCGATCGCCTTGATGACCTGCGACCGATTTACACATTCCAGGCTGACTTCCATGGCAAGCTCTTCCCCATCCTGGACACGTGCTGGCACGAGAGGGGCAGCAACTCACTGCCCATGGTGTTACCCCCACCTGGTGGGCCTGGCCACCTCACCCCCCCACAGCCTACCAAGCTGTAGGCTGACCTGGTGCCGCCTGCCCCAGGCCCCACGCATTGGGCACTGGGACCGAGGGCTTCCCCTGGGTGACATCTTCACTGTTTGAGGGGGTCTTCCTGCCTCTCTGCCCCTGAAGCATTTATGACAGGGAGAAAGGCCACAGTCCCTTCTTTGCCAGCCAGGTGGGCTTAGCAGAGCCAGGCCTGGGGAGCCAACCTTGTCCCTCTCAACCAGGCCCTCTGCTGCCCCTCTTGCAGTGGAGGATACACATGTTCCTTCCTCTTTACTGCAAATTTAAAACTCTTAATGAATTTGACATTGCTTGTTTCTCTTTAAATGATCTCATAGTTGCTATAAAACAGTATTTAATGCTAAGATCTATATTTTTGCTGTGGGGGGATTGAGTCCAGCCCCTCACACATGCTAGGCAAGCCCCCCCCCCCCAGCCACCACCCCAGCCTCTATGTCTAGATGTCTGAAAGCATCTCTAACCTGCGGTGGCACCAGGCCATGTTGCCACTCATTGCTTGCTCTTTGTTTAGAGTCACATTCTGTCACAGTTCCTTCTTCAGACATCTCTGATTTGCCTTTCAGGCAGATAGGATGGAAATGAAGTGGGAGGGGTGAAATAGGGAGGGTGAAGCTTGGTGACCTGGCCAGGCAATGAGAGTGGCAGGCCTGCCTTGGTCACAGCAGAGGGGCAGACATGCACTCCAGACCATGGCTGGGACAATGAGATTCTCCCCCAGGAATTGTGACAACTGGAAGAGAGAAGGGTTGGAGCTGTCACCTAAGACCTAGCACTTTCAAGAGAAGATCTGTAGCCCTGTGCCACAAGCCCCAGAGAAGCCTAAGAGCTCTGAGAGGCAGCTCTGCCCTGGAGTCCGGGTACAATGCCACATAGTCGCCCAGGCAAGGCTTGAGGTGCTTTTCCTGAGACGACATCCACAGTCTCCAGAGCTTATGGCCTGGTATCTTTGGGTAGTCATTATTTAGCCCACTCCAGGCCACCAGACGTCCTCCCTAGATGATTGCCCTGACTTTGAATGATCTCCCTGCCTCAAATCTGCCCTTTTATTCCTTTCCTGACAGAGCAGCCAGCCTGCTCTTTTAAGGAAGCAAATCGGAGGGTGTCGATGTCCGCTCCCGGCCGGCAGGAAGGACACACGACAAAGTCTGGCAGTGGACAACCTTTTCTTTTATTTTTCTTCTCCGTACAGCCTGCCCTGGGATCGCTCCCAGCCGAAGCCTCCTTTGGTCCGCTCCCCGCGGCTCCTTCTAGGCTTCTACTTCCGGGCTTCTTCTTCCCCCCCAGGGGTGGCACCAGTATATATACGGATACAGTGTCCAATCATGTTAAAGTAAGCAAGGCAAGCTGATTGGCTAACATCATCAGTTGCCAGGCAGACTATATTGTTGAGCGGGTTGCTTACTCGGTAAGCAGGAAACTAACGTGCTCGATGGGAGGGGTAATCTACCTCAGGCTTTACTCTTTACTACAGGCCTCACGTCCGCCAAGTGAGGCGACCGGGCTCGGGGCTGCGGCTCCCAACATCTCCCCCTTTTTTATTTTTTATGAATGTGCGCATCGTAGCCCTTTCTGGACTGGGTGCAGAGGCTTATGCCCTATGCGTAGGCCCACCGTAGGTCCTTGGCTTAGACCCTGGTCGGCCGTCCCATGGTCTGCCAAGGCCCTGAGGCCCTCGTCCTTTTTCTAGGGCCAGGCACAAACTGGACGGAACCTGGATGCACACAAGCTTGCACTCATTTCCTCTCCGTAAAGAAATCCCCTCGGAGATAAATTTAGACCTGGGCAGCATCTAACAGTCCAGCGGCTTACGTGCAGGATGGGGTAGGGCCTGGCTTAGGTTGAGTCGCACCGGGGGAGTACGCTCTTACCCGTCATTGACTCTCCTACCCAGCTATGTCATAATTTTTTAGAGGAGGAGTGTGGGAAGCTCACCACCTCTAGACTCGGTCGTAGGCTAGGCGAGCGAGCCATGCATATGCCTGAGGATCTTCTTGTCCATTTCGGGCTACCGCTATTTCTATTCATCTTGTTGGTTGGTCTGTGATGGATCTCCGGTAGGGCAGGTCTGATCTTCAGTCGAGGGCTTTGTCGCCCGTGTCAGTCTCTCCGGTACCCACAGTGGTTCTTGTCCCGATTCCTGTGGGAAAACACAAACCGCGCCTCGGTTCCAGCTGACCACTGGATCCGGGCCCATCCATTGTCCTGTCAGGACATCTTTCCACTTCACCCACCCTTTATGGTTGGGGGAAGGGTTGCAGTGCTCCACGGCTGGGGAGCAATTATCATTATTTAAATTTAAAAAATTGTGTGTGAATAGTGCCATGGATAATCGCGCCTTTGGGGCCAGGCCTTGGCCTACTCCCCCTTTTTGTTTTTGTAAAATTTCTTTGAGGCTTCTATGAGCCCTCTCAATGATTCCTTGACCTTGGGGATTGTATGGGATACCATGTTTTAATTGAACCTCCATCATTTTGCAGAACTCATTGAAGGCTTTGCCTATATAGGCTGGTCCATTATCAGTTTTTAATATTTTTGGTTTGCCCCATGCAGCCCAAGCCGCCAGGCAATGATTGATCACATTAGACACTTTTTCACCTGTTTCTGCTGTTGCGAATATGACGTGAGAACAGGTGTCTGTGGAAACATGAACATATTTAAGAGTCCCAAACTCCTGTATATGTGTGATGTCCATCTGCCAAACATCACCAGGGATCAAACCTCGAGGGTTTACTCCCATCGGTATGGCGGGTTTGTATGTGGCACAGGAGTCACATAGTCGCACGATATCTCGTGCATCTGCTCTGGAAACATGGAAATGGTTTGCTAGTGTCCTGGCATTGACATGAAACTTATCATGGAAGGCACGGGCTCGCTCGATTGGTGTTAGTAAGGTAAAAATCCATAACGGGCGAGTGGCAGTATCAGCAGCCGCATTCCCCTGTGCCATAGGCCCTGGCAGGGATGTATGTGCTCTTATGTGGGTGGTGAAGACCTTATGGTGTCTGTTCTGAAGCAATGTCTGGATAGACAGGAACAGCCCAGCCACTGTGGAAGTGGATCTAATTAAACCGGCAGTCTCAAGCACTTGTATAGCATTGACCACATACCTAGAATCGGAGACAATATTAATGGCTTTTGAGAACCGTTTAAGAATCATTTTAACGATCTGCAGTTCCACCACCTGAGGCTGATCAGGTTTAAATTGTATGGTAACCGGGGGCTTGCCTAGGATCACATAGGCGCCTATCCCCGTCTTGGAGCCATCTGTGTATATTGTAGTTGCTGGGACTAATGGCTCAGAGGCAGTAACCTTTGGAAAAATTATAGGGTGCTGAGTGACAAATGACAAGATAGGGTCTTTAGGGTATTGATTGTTTATATCCCCATGGAAAACACATCTCAGAATGGCCCATGTATCTATGCAGGCAGCCAGGGTCTTGATCTGGCTGGCGGTATAGGGTACTCGGATGGCTTGTGGTCCTGAGCCAAAATGTTGGACAGCTCTATCATGCGCTTCAAGGGCCAATGAAGCGACTGCCTCCGGGTAATGCTCTATGACTTTTGCAGGTGAGACCTTAGGGTGTATCCACAGTAATGGTCCTTTCTGCCAAATCACCGCTGTGGGCTGTAGACTAGTCTGTAGCAAACAGACATCAAAGGGTCGCCCTGGTTCAATTCTGTGTAAGGTAGCCCCACCTAAGGCTTTTTCCACTCTCTGTAAGGCAGCTCTTGCCTCAGGAGTGAGCCTCCTGTGGGAGGCTATATCTGGGTCTCCCTTTAGAAGGTCGAACAGGGGTTTGAGATCTGAATTTGGTATATGTAAATATGGCCTAATCCAATTAATGTCTCCCAATAGTTTTTGCATGTCATTTAGGGTCCTAACGCCATCCGTCCTAATGGTGACCTTCTGTGGAGAGACTAGCATAGGGGAGATTTTTGCGCCTAAGTAGGTCACCATTTCTCCTCCCTGAATCTTGTCGGGGGCAACATGCAGATTAGCTTGTCTCAGGGCCTCGACCAACTGGCCGAGCATATTATTTAGCATGTCTGGGTCCCTGCCGCTGAGCAAAAGGTCGTCCATGTAATGCACACATCTTATCTTGGGAAAGGATTTCCGTAGGGGGGCCAGTAGGGAATCAAGGTAAATCTGACACATAGTGGGACTGTTGGCCATACCTTGGGGCAGCGTTATCCACTCGTATCTGAGATCAGGGCTTTCTTGGTTAATGGTGGGTAAAATAAAGGCGAACCTATGAGTGTCCTCTGGATGCAGGGGGATTGAGAAGAAACAGTCTCTAAGATCTATAACATAAACTGGCCAGGACTGAGGGATGGCTGAGAGAGCTGGCAGCCCCCTCTGGACCGCCCCCAGGGACTGCATCTGCGCGTTGACCGCCCTTAGATCATGGAGCAGCCTCCATTTGCCAGACTTTTTCTTAATTATAAAAATGGGGGTGTTCCATGGGGAGGTTGACGGCTTAATGTGTCCTAATCTAAGTTGTGTACTGACTATTTCTGACAAGGCTAATAGCTTCTCCTTAGGCAGGGGCCACTGAGGTACCCAAACCGGATCATTTGACCTCCAGGTGATTTTGATCGAAGTGGGTAGGAGAGCTTCTTCAGCGGCCCCTAAGAAAAACCCAGCCCTTGCCTACCTTTTTTGTTCTCTACTGGTATTGGGGATGTCCGACCCTGTAGGGCATTGCCCAAGCCTTTGCCGGGGGTATATCCCTGGTTCCTGAGTATATCCTTAGCCTGGGGGGAGCAGTTTGACGTAAGCGTGACATCCATCTGAGTGAGGATGTCCCTTCCCCATAGAGACACTGGCAACTGCAACACAAATGGTTGGAAATGGCCCTGATGACCCTCCTCATCGCACCAGAGCAGGGTTGAAGCACTAACCTGAGGAGCTGACACCATCCCCAGGCCCTGCAGCGTGTTATCTGCAGTGTTGGTGGGCCAGTTGGAGGGCCAATCCTTTCTAGAGATAATGGAACGGTCAGCTCCTGTGTCTAGGAGCCCTGTTATACTCTTGCCGTTGACCTTAAGTGAGAGCATGGGCCTTTTATCAAGTATTATATGGAGTCCCTCGAAGACTTCCCCTGAGGAACCGAAACCTTGACTTTCTCTAATTTTCTGCTTTGAGGGGAATCTCTTGTGGAGACTGGGGAGCAGCAAGAGCTGCGCTATCTTGTCTCCTTTATTGATTACCATAGTACCCACAAGAGATTGAACCATAATTTTAATGTGTCCTGTGTAGTCTGAGTCTATGACCCCCGGGACTACTATGAGACCCCGAAGGGCCGTGGAGGATCTCCCGATCACCAGACCCA